CAGTTTTCTCCTTGCTAATCAAAATTTCAAATTCATTTACTGTCAGTTCTAATATTCTAAGATAAATTCTAGATATAGAAAGATTATGCTTCAAACTCTTTTTCTGTTGCAAATGATCATATTCTATTCCTTTATTTGAAACTCCATTTGACTAGAAAAATCAACAAAAAAAGTCTGTTTTTCAAACTTCTTCCCTGCTTAAAGTTGTTCTTGACATTTTTATGTTATTCAAAAGAAGTTGAAGTCATTTGAATATTTTACACTGCGTTTGTTAAGTTTCTATTTCTAGATGTGCTTAATCATATATCTTTGTAAGAAATCCATTTATCCATTAGACAAGCTGAAACCTGTGTTGCACGGAAATGGGTGCGCGTGTGGACAAGGATACCGACACAGGACACGTCAAATTTGTGAAAGACGGGACAGGGGGACATAGATATGTGTGCCCGCGCGCGTGTGCATATGTGAGGGATATTTACATTAGATCAAATATTGATATAAAATACCTATAACATTTTGTATGTTTGTTTTATTATCTATAACAATTAAGAATCAGATTAAATCAAAATAAGAAATAAGGTTTTACAACAAAAAATCAGTTTTGATCGCATGGGATGCAATGGGTATTTTTCAAATTGTTAGGTAATGAGTTTCATTTTTCGGTTTCAAAAACCTATTGGTTTTGAGCTCGAAATACCAAAAAAAAACTAGTTTAGAGTTATACGTAATGGGGAAACCAGGTTTTGCTTTGAATTTTGAACCATAGTCTCCATCGCGTGTCCATGACGAATCTGTGTCCGACATGGGTACAGCACCCAAATCGAAGTGTCCTTGTAAACAAGCTAAATTAGACATTGACATGTGCATATGTAAAAATAAACAAACAATCAACTTATACAAATTAACGTTAGTATAATTTTTTCTTTCAATTATATCACTTTCTAGTTCTGTTTCCCATCTATCTTTTTAATACATTTTATACTTAAACTAGCATCCTGGGTTTTCAACCATTTATACTTAAACTAGCATCCTGGGTTTTCATCCTCAGATATACGAGGCCTTGCTACTGCCATGGGGCTGATTGAGGCTCAGAGGAACCAATTAACAATTCATTGAACTTCATTTGAGTTTATTCTCATTCTTCCATGTTTAAATGAGCGGGCATTTTTTTGTTTATGAAGCAAAAATTGGAAAATTGCAACATAAATATCAATGTGTGTCAAAAAGCAGAAGAATAGGAAAATATTTTGAAGCTTTTAAAGATCATTAAAACATGAAACATTTTGCTTCCATGAGCATAAGGAAAGTCCAGTTAAATATGACAGGCAACTAAAACTTTTTCCAAGTGACTAGGGATGTTATGTAGGTTAGGTTGAACCTAAACCCGCCTACGTGTACTTTTTGCTTGAGTTTAGTTCGTTTTTAACTCACCCAGTTAGCATTTTGTTATTCCAAATAGCTTAACACTTGATAAGGTGCACTGTAGTATTCTGATCTTCCATTACACCATTCCGCAGAACTTATAAATCTTCTAGTAATTACAAGGGGCACTAAAGCATCTCTAAGTTTACGTGCCATTATAAAAGATAGAAATAATGCATTGTTGAGGCTTTAGAAATGCGCCCAACCTTGCATCCTGAGGGATTACCTTTATATTGGGTGTTACATGAACTTAGAAAAAGTGATTGACCTCTTTTAGAGTGCAAAAGAGAAATCTCCTGATAAGATGTGCTTCCTCTAGATAGCAAGTGGATATTCATTGATTTCGGCTTTTGAGTCATAACTCGTCCAACCTGCCCAAAAAGATCCCTTATATGAGCTTTTGCCCAAAGTTCTGCATCCCAGTGCAAAAAGTGGGGGGTTTGGTTTTCCCTCTTGGGAAAACCAAAAGAAATCAAGTGCGTATGAATCCAAACCAAACTGATTTTCTTTTGTTGATTAGTTCTGCTTTAAAAAAACTGTTAGGCACATATATTCTGATGTACATATGCTCGTACTTTATATTTTTATTGATGTACATATGCGTATAATCGATAGATACTACATTGATTGATACAATATTACCCTTCTATTATTTGTTACAATTACCACATTAAAGCATATATTAGGTGACTATGGTATTATGGACCTTTTTTCTCCCAACAGGATGCTCTCAAATCGAGAGTCAGCAAGACGCTCTCGAAGGAGAAAGCAAGCACATTTAAGTGAACTTGAGGCACAGGTCTGACCTTGTGGTGACCATTGATATTGAGATAGATGAATTATATATTACTGAATGTCCTTAAATTCCATTTGATGCAAGGTGTCACAACTAAGAGTGGAGAACTCAGCTTTGTTGAAGCGCCTTACTGACATAAACCAGAAGTACAATGAAGCTTCTGTAGACAATAGGATACTGAAAGCAGATGTCGAGACTTTGAGGGCTAAGGTAAGTTGTTATGTTACCTAGGCGAGCATGTAAATTTTAACGCTGCAGTGTAAAAATGAGATATCATGGTTAATATCTGCATCTGTTTCCTTAGATGATGAAAGTGTTTTCCTTTGTATATATACTACGGTGATAATTAATCAGTATTAAACAACTGGTATTGTTATTTCCCAAGGCCGGGCTGGAGAAATCATGGAATTATGAGATGATTTCACATAATTTTTTAACCCTTTTGAAAGTCATTTACCACTTATTTACTTCAATATATTTTAAACGCCCTTTTATCATTGTTCATGTGTACTGATGGTTGTCTTACTTGAATATATTCTGCTTTCATTTACAGTTTTTATTTTACAAAAATCTGCAAGTCATTGGATTTTTGTTTCTATTTTATTTGTGACTATATATCTTTACATTTTGCCTTGTTAATTTTCAAATTATAACTCTTCCTTAACATCATAGATTTTGACTAGACATCCTTACAAACCGTTAACAAGCAGAATTGTTTCACCACTTCTTTCGTCACGCTTTTTTGTTGTCGTTGTACGACTAATTTCTGGGCATCCTCCCTTTTCATGATTTTGCCATCTCTAACCTTATAGCTCTCTTGGTATTGCGAATACACAAAGAAAAGTTATATACAGCTAGTTATAATTAGGACATGTTAATTTTTAGATCAAAACATTGATTTGCTGCATCATGCTCAATAGGAATTTTGAGAGAGAGAAATTGAATCAGGAAAAAGCCACTTTCTTCATTAACCTCTTAGGCTTATATAATGTGTTACATTTTACATCCAAGCCCTTATCTTTCTATAAACTACATATTTCAACACTCCCCCTCAAGATGGGCAAAAGATATCCATCAAGCCCATCTTGTCACATAACCTAGCTAGATCTACTGAGCTAAGTCCTTTGGTGAGGCAGTCAGCTACTTGATCTCTAGTAGCTACATGACTTAGCTCCAATAGTCCACTATTCAGCTTTTCCTTTATGAAGAACCTATCAATCTCCACGTGCTTGGTTCTGTCATGCTGCACTGGATTGTTGGCAATGCTGATTGCGGACTTGTTGTCGCACCACAACTTCATTTGAGCCCCTTGGTCCAGCTTGAGCTCTTTCAATAGAGTCTTCAGCCATAACATCTCAGCAACTCCTAAGGCCATGGCCCTATACTCTGCTTCTGCCGTAGATCTCGCAACAACAGACTGCTTCTTTCTCTTCCAAGAGACCAAGTTGCACCCTACAAACATGCAGTAGCCCGATGTGGACTTCCTGTCATCGGCACAACTAGCCCAATCAGAGTCACAATAGCCCTCAATGTTCAAGTGCCCATTCTGCCTGAATATCAATCCCTTCCCAGGTGCACTCTTCAGGTATCTCAAGATCTGATACACCGCATCCATATGGCCCTTCCTAGGATCATGCATGTAACGGCTCACCACGCTCACTGCAAATGAAATATCGGGACGCGTATGACTCAGATAGATCAATCTACCTACCAATCTCTGGTACCTCTCTCGATCAACCTGTTCTCCTGCCTCTGCACTCAGCTTGGACTTCTGATCAATTGGAGAAACAGCAGGCTTGCACCCCAACATGCATGTTTCTGTGAGCAAGTCTAGGACATATTTCCTTTGAGATAGGACAATCCCCTCTGCTCCATGAGCCACCTCAATCCCAAGGAAATATCTGAGCTGTCCCAGATCCTTTACCTCGAACTCCTTCCCCAACTTTGCCTTCAGCTGTGCAATTTCCCCTTCATCATCCCCAGTAATGATCATGTCATCTACATACACAGCAAGCATGGTAATATGGCCACCCTGTTGCCGATAGAACACCGTGTGGTCGGCATTGATCTGCTTGTAGCCTAGACACACCATGGCCTTCCTGAACCTATCAAACCATGCCCGAGGAGACTGTTTCAACCCATACAACGACTTCTTGAGCCTGCACACCTTACCAACCGTCTGGTTTGTGCCAAAACCCGGTGGGACCTCCATATACACCTCCTCCAGCAAATCACCATGAAGGAAAGCGTTCTTCACATCAAGTTGGTGTAACTTCCACCCACCGTTCACTGCTAGGGAGATCAGTGTCCTTACTGTGCTCATCTTTGCCACGGGTGCAAAGGTCTCATCATAGTCAATACCATAGGTTTGACTGTACCCCTTTGCCACCAACCGAGCCTTGTAACGCTCAATCAGACCCTCTGGATTCTGTTTCACTGTGAAGACCCACTTGCATCCGACAGCCTTCTTGCCTGGTGGTAGTAACACAAGCTCCCAAGTGTTGTTTTTGTCGAGGGCACCGAGCTCTTCTAGCATGGCTGCCTTCCACTTCGGATCTCCCTTAGCAACCTGCCAACTCTTAGGGATAGAGACAGTGTCTAATGATGCAATGAATGCTCCATGTACAGGTGATATGTGTGAGTAAGAGACAAACTGGGCAATATCATGTGAGAAACCATATCAGTCAGGAGAGAAACCATATCGGTCAGGACGCGAGTAGTCCGCCTTACCAATAGGGGGGTGGGAGGAATAGAGAGAGGAATCATATCACCTGTGTATTCTGAGTCTGAAGTGGATGGTGTAGGTGTCTCAAGAGTCGGAGAAGGCAGGGACAAGGGACTTGGCACTGGTGGCACTGTAGGCACGACTCCCTCAATCTGCTTGTTTCTCCTCACATACACCTCTCGGTATCTCAACTCCCCCTGAGTCAGAGTTCTACCACCTTCGAGCTCATTCCTCTCAGCTTCCGTCTCAACCCTAGCTGGTTCCTCCTTTTCCGGCTCAACCACAGCCGAAATCTCAAATGGGCAAGGAATACTACCCACACTCACCATCCTCCTCTCACCATCACTACTACTCTCCCCCTCTCGCCTCATACCTTCTGTATCGGGCGGGTCTCCAAAGGGTGATGTAACCTCTGAGTAGTATGATTCGAACTCGCGAAATGTAACATCCATACTCACAAACAGTCTCCTCTCCACAGGACTCCAGCACACATACCCCTTTTGGGTAGCTGAGTACCCCACAAAGATACACTTCACAGCCCTTGGATCTAGTTTTCCCACATTTGGTCTGTTGTCCTGCACGAAGCACACACACCCAAAGTTTTTGAGAGGAAGAATATCTTCATTCTTACCTTTCAACATCTCAATCGGAGACTTCCAGTCTAACACTCGTGATGGCATCCGATTGATCAAATAGGCGGCTGTCAGAACTGCTTGCCCCCACAAGTACTTTGGGACTTTCATCGAAATCATCATACTCCGAGTCACCTCAAGGAGGTGCCTGTTCTTTCTCTCTGCTACCTCATTCTGCTCTGGTGTGTATGTACATGTGGTTTGATGTTGTATCCCCTGAGATGACAAGTACTCCCCAAACACCCTGTTGGTGTACTCTGTCCCATTGTCAGACCTTAATACTTTCACAACTGCACCGTATTGAGTCTGAACTCCTTTATGGAAGTCCTTGAAGCAAGCAAACACATCACTCTTGTTTTTCATCAAATAAAGCCACGTCACACGAGAAAAACAATCAATAAAAGAGACAAAGTATCTAAATCCATTCACAGCAGTTGTGGGACAAGGCCCCCATACATCAGAGTGAATCAAATCAAAAACACTAGAACTCCTACTACCAGAACTAACATAAGAGCTCCTGGTGTGCTTTCCCAACTCACACGCATCACACACGAGTTTTTCCTTATTAGCCTTTTCAAACAAAGGCGGATACAACCTACTCAAAACCGGAAAAGAAGGATGACCCAAGCGCCTATGATGGAGCAGCAGCAAGTCCTCCACACTCCTCCCAACTCCTTCAGCTCCCTCCACAATAGATGAGAGGGCCAAGTCCATACCCTCTCTATCTAGGTACCACAAGCCACTATGCCATGTGCCAGTCCCAAGTTGCCTGTCTGTCCCCTTCTCTTGGAAGATCACATTGGGAATATCAAACAAAACGACACATTTTAGTTGTGATATAATGGCACTTATGGATAAGAGATTTACAGTATCAAACAAAACGACACATTTTAGTTGTGATATAATGGCACTTATGGATAAGAGATTTACAGGAAAAGAAGGAGCATGCAAGACATTAGACAAAGTGGATAAGAGATTTACAGGAAAAGAAGGAGCATGCAAGACATTAGACAAAGTCAAGGTGTTGGTACATTTCACTGTGCCCTTACCAACCACGGGCTGGGCCGTACCGTCAGCTGTTTGAATGCTCTCTGGTACTGCTAGGTGAGTATAGGAAGAAAATTCCCTAGCAGCACCTGTCACATGACGAGATGCACCAGAATCGACTATCCAATCTGGTGATCTAGTGGTGGATATAGAGGCAAGAGCAAGTGTATCACAAGTACCTGTAGCTGAGTGAGCAAAGGAAGCAAGGTTACCCCTGGATGAAGACGAGGTGGATGCATCATCTACCCCACTCTTCCCCTCACTTGCTGCTTTCTGCTTCCTCTTCAATACCTCCAAAAACTCATGATCCTCTTCTGTAAAGACCACGAACTCCTCACTCTCTCCCTCTGCTATCATCAAATGTGCTTGGTAGCCTCCTCTTCCACCTCTCCTACCACCTCTGCCTCGACCACGACCCCCAGCATACCCCCTTCCACCTGTATCACGCTCCTTTAGTAGCTTAGGGCAAACTTGCTTCAGGTGACCTACCTCACCACAGTTGTAGCACTGTCGGGTCTCGCCCCTGTACCCTGTGTTACCTGAGTTGGAGACTGCAAGTGCTGACTTCACTCCTGGAAGTCCAGCTGTCCCAGTCTGTAGCCTAATCCGGCTCTCCTCCTGTATCATGGCTGAGACCGCTTCCTCAAGTGAGGGAATCCTCGTCTGAGCCAGTAGCATAGCAACCCTCTGCTCAAACACCGGGGCCAGGCCCTGGAGGAACACCATAACCCTGTCCTCCATTTCAATCTCAGAACACACAGGGTCAGTGCAGCATCGTCGTCGGACCCTGAAGTGACCCTGATCCAGCCATAAGCGATCCAGTTCTATAGCATACTCCTGCACAGTTCTCTCTCCTTGTACCAAAGCCGATATCTCCCTCTTGATCTGATACACCCGCAGGTTATTCCCAACACCATCGTAGGTCCTCCTCAGCTTCTCCCAGACATCCTGCACCTTCGCTATGCCATCCACTGTGGACGCAATAGGCGAGGTCCTCCTCAGCTTCTCCCAGACATCCTGCACCTTCGCTATGCCATCCACTGTGGACGCAATAGGCGAGGTCAGTGAGTTCAGGAGCCAGATATATACCTGCATGTGAGTCGACTTCCACTCAGCTCTCTCAGGTGCATTCTGACTCGACTCCTCCTTCTCTCCAGTCAGGTACCCCTCCAGACCCTTCCCTTCCAGAGTGTACCTCACCCGACGCGACCAGCTTAGATAAGTGGCTGGACCCTCGAGTTTCATATCGATCGGTGGCAACTCAACCTTCTGCTTCGGCTTGCTCTCACCCGCTGAGATCTTGAATGCTCGCATCAGAACCATTACATCATCAGGACTCAGCTTTGACATCACCTCGGCTAGTGGATTCGTGCTGCCACTCCCCTCCTCCTTCTCGGTCGTCATCGATCTGACTCTGATCTACGCCTCAAGTATCAATCTAAGTCTAGATCCACATCACCTCTAACCTCTTCCTCTTCCTTCTAACCCGGTCTTGACCTTATCTCATCAAGATTCGAGTAAAATAAAAACTACAGAACCCGATCAACACCAAACTACTTGCAGCAGCTCTCGACCCTCTCGTTACCAAATAAAGCCGTCAGTCTCTCTCTCCATGGCTCCGGCAGCAATGGCCTTCACCACCGCCGGAGGGTGGAGGCTGACAATCTGTCCCCCAATTTCTAGGGTTTTAAGAAAAGAAAAAATGTTTTTCTCAAATTAAAACCCTAACCTGGTGATGACAAGAAGAAGATCGACGGGAGGTCCGGAGGCGATGACAGGAAGAAGATCGACGGGAAGAAGAAGATCGACGGGAACCAGTTGGATTGCGACTTCAAGCTTGGAGAGCGATGACCGCCGGATCTAGGGTCAGGGATTTCCTCAGGTGGCGGCGGCTCTAGGGTTAGAAAGCTCTGATACCATTTTGAAGTTTTGAGATAATGAATCGTTGTTTTTCTTTCTTGACCGCTTGGGCCTATATAAGTGTTACATCTTACATCCAAACCCCTATCTTTCTCTATCATCTATTTTACCAAAAAGACCCCTATCAAATCTAGGAAATACGAAAACATACAAACTGCATATCTCAACACTTTCTTCTTCAAGTATTTTGAACCAGTGACTTTCTTCTTCACAAACCAGTCTTGAGAAGTACTGATCAAATCTGTAGAAGATTTCTTTGTGGGTGGGTGGGATGGTTTTTTTTTTTAAAGGTGTTTGGGGTGATACTAGTCAGAAGGCACCTCTTGTTGCTTAGCACGATATCTGTAGATCCAAAGATGCCGGTGGACTTGGCATTTTCCATGCAGAAGGATGGAACCTTGCTTCCATTGCTAGGCTTATCTGGGAGATCCAAACCAAGAACGATGTTCTATGGATAAAATGGGCTCACGAGGTTATCTCAAGCAGTATGATATTTGGCATGTTAAGCCTACAGTTGGGGATTCATGGCAATGGAAACAGGTTTTAAAAGTTAGAGATTTCCTATTAGAAAGATGGGGGGTCAATTGATGCCTCTACACATAATCTTAGTTGGCTGCAAGTTTAAGATCTCCTCTGCGTATCAGTTGTGTTATGATCTTAAACATGGTGGTAGATTGGTCTCCTTTCATTTGGAGTCCTCTAACTGTGCCAATGCATAGTATCATTGAATGGTTAGCTGCAATAAGAAGGCTTCTTATACAGCATCAGCTGATGCGCATGGGGATTGTGCAAACTAATAGCTGCTGTTTATGTTTGCAGCAGGAGGAAACACTTGAGCACTTATTTTTTCAATGTTCTTATTCTACTTCAGTTTGGGATCATATTCTGGCATGGAACAGGACTTTTGCTTACCCAGCTTCTTGGCTGGAGGTGTTGCATCGGTTGCGTCTCTTGTAGGGAGGAATCAGTAAAGTGGAGAATTCTAAAAGCTAGTATTTCTGTTGTGGTGTATCACATATGGTGTGAGAGAAACTATAGGACTTTTGCTGAGAAGTCTTCTGATGCCAGTGATTTGATCGCTGCAGTTAAGCAGGAGGTTTTGACCAGAGTGCTAAAAGCGAAAATTCCTTATCATCGCATATATAGATATCTTTGATACTTTTGTTAGCTTTTTGTAAGCTTTTGTTCTTTTATATCACAGTTTGAGCTTTTGTTTTGTACTTTCATTCCATTGGTATAATGAGAAATTTATTCATTTACCAAAAAAAAAGAAAATGTACTTTCTTATCCACCGCACGCAATTCCTAAAGTTCTTGCTATTATTACATTGACAAGATCGTACCAAAAATCTTAAAATCAAAATGCAGAATTGCTATTTCTTACGTCGAATAGTCCTAATATGACTATCTACACGTATTAACTTATCGAAGATAAAAGCATTCAATTAGAATTAGGAAATGAAGGCTTCAAAAACTAGAATGAGTTTAGATTAGTACCCAATTCCTTTAGTTCCTCCAGTGACTAAAGCAGTTGTTCCACAAAGCGACCATCGATTCTTCCTCTCATCAACATCAATGCTCCTAGTTCCCTCCATGGTTTGTCTCCTATTTCCTTCAATGCTATCCGAACCCATCCTTCACAGTCTTTATATATACCCACGGTCAGTTGCATAGTACCACAAGAATATACAATAAATGCCAGAACGCTGTCCAAATACAAAGCAAATAATATGAACTCATTCTAAAGATGCCATGCTGCACAAGGTAAACTAATCAAACAAAAAGTCTTGCATCATTACCGAATGTCTTTATGCCCAGAGCAAAGCTCCGTTGCAGTATCTGACACGAGAACAAGTTCAAATGATTGATAATGCCGTATATGGCCTGCACAAGATCGTTCATACCAACGAAAAAGTCTTGCATCATCATCATCATCACTGGATTGGATATCTTCCATTGAAAATAAGGACAACGAGTAAAGCTTACGACCTTCATTTTTGTTTTACACTACGAGCTAATATCATTTCAATACTTGATTCAATTTTATTGTTATACCTCGCTTCCTTGAATATGAGCCGAAACAATTAAAGGGTACCAACTACAAACACAAACCAGTAACCCAAAAAACAAAAACAAAAACAAAACAAAAAAACAGACATTTCATCAAACATTTAATCAAGAAATCAGAGGCAAAAAGCATTTCTCTACTTAATCTCGATGACCCATTTCGGCAAGCAGTTGATGGGCATTGTTGCTTCTCTTGGGTAAAACAGTTCAGTCTCATGAACATTTCATCAAACACCTTACGAGCAACTGTTTATTACAAACTTAAAGTGAACGAACACTGTGACTGTGGGCAGCCTCAAAGGCGGCGGGCGCCGTCGGCACAAATGATTTGGCCGGAGATGAAAGAGGCAGCAGGCATGCAGAGGAATGCAGCCAGCGATGCTACCTCCATTGGGATCCTGTTGACTCCTGCTGCTCTGATAAAGCTCCTTCGTCATTTATCACCTATTCAAGATGTTTAGATGGAAGATTAATGTGTCAGAGAAATTGTCGATTGTCCCCTATTAATTTACAGCCCACTTACGCAGTTAAACCAAAGTTAAGCTTACTTCTCATTTTAAGCCCAACCGATTATTTAAATGCCCAAAGCCCAAACATTTAAAAATGGCCGAAGCTCTACGAGCTCAAGTGCAACTGAAATTTTACTTTTATAGGGATATTCAGCCCATCTCCTACTCTATCATCAGTACCAATAAATTAACAATTCTTAAGGGGGTGTTCTTCGTTCTGGATTGTTGATTTAGACTCTAACAATTGTGACTCAATTTTTTGGTTAGTGTGCCGAACTCCTGGATTAGATTTTAATTTTTTTTATTAGAAATCTTGAACTTTTAGTTTAAATTTTTTAACTTTTGCTTTGAATTCGTAGGTAGGCTGAAGGTTAGATTCTCAAACTAAATTTTAGACTTATCAATTTTTTGAATTAGGATCTTCAAAATAAATTATTTTGTTAAATAATAATTATTCAAATTGAATATTAATATGGAAAATCATCCGTATTTCGATTAACGAATGACAACAACGAAAGTAAATACATTCATGTAATCTATTTAAACTGTTCACATGATGCCATATGACAGAAAATAACTAGGCACATAAATAAATAAAAAAGCTAGTGTTTAGGTACATAAAAGAAGATAACTAGTGTTCAATCATATAAAAAGTAATTTGTACATTTAAATATATAAATTTTAAATATATTAAAAAATTTATCTCAAACATCCGACATTAAATATTCGAATGATTTAATATTAGATATTTGTATTATTTAATACATTAAATTTTAAATATTAAATATACTTAATATTTATGTACTTAATATCTTTCATTTCTGACAATTAAATAAAAATAAAATGAATTTAACATATTATTAAATATTTAAAAAATTTAAATATTTAAGAAATGTTAAATACTAAACATATATAATTTAATATTAAATATTAAATAGATTAGGTGATTAAATTAAATAGTATTAAATATTTTATTTTAAATGAATTAAATAAAAAAGAAGTTGATTACAAATATTTTAAGATTAAAAATACATTCAATGTTAATATATAAGTAATTTAGGAATATGAATTATTTTAAAATTAAATATATTTAATTTGAATATATATTAAATATTTGTATAAGTAAAGAGAACAAAATATAGAAAATCCACAGAATGAGATCACAATTCACCAATTTTAACTTGAACTTTCTGTAGAAAATTTCTCATTAAAAACTATAGAGTTGGAATAGAGTGTGCATTTTAAAATCCTAGTTCTAATAACAATCTTAGACAATCAATAACATCTTAAATTCAATTCCAAATCCTAGTCCTAATAAACCAACAACACATTAAATTTAAATCCAAATCGTAGTCCTAAAAAACTAATTTGTATATTTAAATATATAAATTTTAAATATATTAAAAAATTTATATCAAACTTCCGGCATTAAATATTAGAATGATTTAATATTAAATATTTGTATTATTTAATACATTAAATTTTAAATATTAAATATACTTAATTTTTATGTACTTAATATATTTCATTTCTGACAACTAAATAAAAATAAAATGAATTTAACATATTATTAAATATTTAAAATATTTAAATATTTAAGAAATGTTAAATACTAAACATATATAATTTAATATTAAATATTAAATAGATTAGGTGATTAAATTAAATAGTATTAAATATTTTATTTTAAATGAATTAAATAAAAAAGAAGTTGATTACAAATATTTTAAGATTAAAAATACATTCAATGTTAATATATAAGTAATTTAGGAATATGAATTATTTTAAAATTAAATATATTTAATTTGAATATATATTAAATATTTGTATAAGTAAAGAGAACAAAATATAGAAAATCCACAGAATGAGATCACAATTCACCAATTTTAACTTGAACTTTCTGTAGAAAATTTCTCATTAAAAACTATAGAGTTGGAATAGAGTGTGCATTTTAAAATCCTAGTTCTAATAACAATCTTAGACAATCAATAACATCTTAAATTCAATTCCAAATCCTAGTCCTAATAAACCAACAACACATTAAATTTAAATCCAAATCGTAGTCCTAAAAAACTAATTTGTATATTTAAATATATAAATTTTAAATATATTAAAAAATTTATATCAAACTTCCGGCATTAAATATTAGAATGATTTAATATTAAATATTTGTATTATTTAATACATTAAATTTTAAATATTAAATATACTTAATTTTTATGTACTTAATATATTTCATTTCTGACAACTAAATAAAAATAAAATGAATTTAACATATTATTAAATATTTAAAATATTTAAATATTTAAGAAATGTTAAATACTAAACATATATAATTTAATATTAAATATTAAATAGATTAGGTGATTAAATTAAATAGTATTAAATATTTTATTTTAAATGAATTAAATAAAAAAGAAGTTGATTACAAATATTTTAAGATTAAAAATACATTCAATGTTAATATATAAGTAATTTAGGAATATGAATTATTTTAAAATTAAATATATTTAATTTGAATATATATTAAATATTTGTATAAGTAAAGAGAACAAAATATAGAAAATCCACAGAATGAGATCACAATTCACCAATTTTAACTTGAACTTTCTGTAGAAAATTTCTCATTAAAAACTATAGAGTTGGAATAGAGTGTGCATTTTAAAATCCTAGTTCTAATAACAATCTTAGACAATCAATAACATCTTAAATTCAATTCCAAATCCTAGTCCTAATAAACCAACAACACATTAAATTTAAATCCAAATCGTAGTCCTAAAAAACTAATTTGTATATTTAAATATATAAATTTTAAATATATTAAAAAATTTATATCAAACTTCCGGCATTAAATATTAGAATGATTTAATATTAAATATTTGTATTATTTAATACATTAAATTTTAAATATTAAATATACTTAATTTTTATGTACTTAATATATTTCATTTCTGACAACTAAATAAAAATAAAATGAATTTAACATATTATTAAATATTTAAAATATTTAAATATTTAAGAAATGTTAAATTGCAAAAAAGAGGAACTTTTTCTGGATCTGATCCCTTAACTTATTTTGTAGGTCTCTATGTCTCGTATTGCGAGGGGTCAATCCTCTACCGCGTCGGCTGGTGGCGCGTCTCTCTCTTATGCTGGTGAGCTATTTTTGGAAATTTACAAATTAGTCCATTTTTTTCTTGGAAATTTACAAATTGGTCCTTTTTATCCCCATTTTGTTCTCCTTGGTGAGGCAATCGGGAAGAGCCTTGATTCTCCTTGGCGAGGATCGACGCTTTAAAGATATGTTTTGCTTGGTCAAAACCATATCTCAAAATCAATAAAGGGGGCGTTTTGACGCTGCATTGTGCCTTATAAGGCAGGGATATATAGTCGATATACCCTATCTTATAAGTACATAATGTGGCCAAATCGTCTCACCCTTTATAAGGCAGTGACTCCATCTTACCCATTCGTAGGATGAGTTCAACTTCCTTTTATGATTGAGACTAACAACTGTTTAAATTTTTGCTTCCAGTGGAATATCCTTCTAGAGCATTTTCATCTCACGCAGTGTATGGGCGTCGTGGCGAGTATTATTCGACTTCCGACGATTTTTCCCCTATCCCAGTCACTTCTCGGTTCGCTTCGGGCACGTCGACAGAGGTTGCCCAAGTGGTGAAGGAAGGTGGACATCGAGCTCTTCGCCAGTTGATTACAGATGCGCCCCTCGTGAAGGATGCCAGTTCGATTCAGCCTCTCAGGAAGACCGACTTTTTATTTGGCGACTCTGCCAGAGATCCGGATGCCGTTTTTATTGATGCTGAGCAGTGGCTTCATAAGACTGGCAGTGGTTTCATATATTTGCCGAAGATTCCTCGGCATCGTTCGTTGACTGAGCTCCGGCGTCAGGCTGTGACACGGGAGATGTCGTGGCGCTTGACGGAGGAGCATGAGAGCGTTCACTGCGGATACATCACTCATCAGGCAGCTCCTGGTTCGAGCAGGAGTCACATCACTGGATTGCATCCTGGAGTATTGGGGTTAGATGCACCGCCACGTAACGAGCTTCTTGCCGCTGCTTCTATTTTGAAGAATCGCCTTGCTGCTTTGGGACGGGAGATGCCTGCGGCACGCCACAGGTTTTATGGTTGGGTCCATTCTTTGGACAAGCTTTGGTGGACTCGCATGACGAAATACGTCTTGAGCCGATGGAGCGAGGAGTTGCACGCTTGTGGTCTGTATGCAGCCGTTCGTGCCACTATGTATGGTTTGCCTGTTAGCACGAAGCATTTCTTTGCTTTGTGCGAGCTCTACAACCCGGATTCGAACACTTTTCTGACACGGCAAGGGGAGTTGGGCTTGGCCCTCCATGAGATGCACAGGATTTCTGGGAATTGAATCAGCTGAAGGATCGAATGCCCGACCGCTACGAGACTTTATGGGACCTCACATGTCACTATCATATCGCTTTGGCGCAGTCTGAACCCTTAGCGAAGAGGGCTAAATCCCATGTGATCCAGAAACAGTTTGCGTCTTATTTGTTCAGGAATCTAGAGAGCAATTCTGGCGAGGCTATTTGTGAGCTGGCTCCACTCACTCCGTCAGGGGTGAATAATCTACCGAAGAAGGTTGATGCTCATTCTTATACCACTAGCAGTCCTGAGAGTGGTTTTCCTACAGGGACCAAGTTCAAATCATTCTTGTGGCATGCGACCGCGCCGATTCGACCGATGACCCTTCTAGCCGGTTACCTCGCTATCTGGTTGAAGAAATGCGTGGTCCCGTATCAGTCTAGTGATATCTTGCCATTGGAGGTGCTCTACCCAGCAGTTCAGCTTGCCTACAAAAAGGAACTTTCGCTTCTTCCGGTGATGGTGGCTAACATTCATCGAGGGCTTCGACAGATTTCTAGTGCTTTTACACGGAAGGAAAGTGGACCACCGACTCAGATTCCTACCATTAAGGTGGAGCTTCCGTACACTTATTTGATGGCTTGGTTCGTCCTTCATCGTTCTGATATGATGTCAATACCGTATGCCACAGACCCCTCCGCTCCCCTACTACAGTTGTTTGAGAATGACAAGTGGGAGGGGCGAGGATTCCCTGACGTCAGACAGCAGCTACAGGTCCACAAGTGTTGGGCGTTTTCCACTTATTTTC